GGCCAGCCTGGTCTATAGAGCTAGCTCTACGACAGCCAGGGCCACAGAGAGAAACCCTGCCTCGAAAAACTGAAACAGAAAAACAAACAACAACAACAAAAATCTTATAAACATAGTATTTCAGGTAGGCTGGCCGCCAGGTTGTACCTGTGTTTTCTTCTTCATGTGCTAAAGAGTTATCTGCTCGTGTATTTTATTTTTAAATCCCTTATAAAAATAAACCAGTACACACCATGCAAACGTGTTTGGACGTGAGTGTGTGAGGAAGCATTGTTTGGAATGGTGCAGCACCACTGTGTCTTTGCCATCTAAACTCTAACTTTGGCTATCTGTATAAAAAAGATACAAAGAAACACAGGTCATTTTCATTTTGTTTGTTTGTTTGTAGAACTGTTTTCCTTCAATCAAATCTATATCCTAAACAGCCTCAAAAAAAAAACGAAGAGTTCTGAACAGGCTCAATATTTGTGAACATTACACATTCAAGGAGGAATCATTCAGACTGAATTCTCCTCTGCATGATGGAAGCCAGCTTTGACAGAGAGCTATTGCTATGCTTAAGCGGATTACATTCTTCAAAAAAATTATGGCTAAAACATTCATCTTTATCTGTTCTCTTCTGCTTTATCCTATCGAGTTGATGAAACCAAGAATGATAAGATACACGGAAAACCTGGACCTCGAGCCATGATTTTATTCTGAAAACCAAACCTATTTTTAACAGATCCTGAGAGCCAGGAACTAATTTTTACACAAAATTATGCATTCATGAAAAAACTGTGAATGAATCTGTTGCCTGTTTAAAGAGCCTAAGTGGTGGAGTAAACTGCCACCTAGAGTTGAGACTGGAATTGGGCTCAAAACCGTCAGCCTGTCAGCCTACAGTCTCAGCCCTTCACTGTGGAGTCCGTTTGTCCTTTATCCAGAGAAGCTATGTCTCTACAGGTCTGAAGTTCCACCAAAGAGTAGGAGGCATACTGGACTATGAGAATCAAAACAATCTCTGGGGAAGTCTTTAAATATTTTAGCAAACAAAGACACTACACCAAAGGTCAAGTTCTTTAGAACGTTTCATGTTATAAATCATGTTCTCAATGCCCCACTCCTCCAGCCATACATAGCCTGTAGGTTTGGCTGTTTCTTACACTCACACCAGGGCCGGAGGCTTCTCTGCCATGATGGGACCACTGCCCAAACCTGAATGAACTAAGTGGTCTGGGCAGTTGATACCTAGGTTTCTCTAAAACCATACCTTTAGCTAAAGCCCTGAAATTAACAGAGTGACCAGAACAAAACCCACACGGCTTAACAAACATCGAATAGCTTCGTTTCCACCTTTTTTTTTTTTTTAAGCACATCACAGTGTGGAAATCTTCCTGCCTCTTACCTCCCACATGTCTCATGGACCCCACCTCACCTTTCTCTGGGCATATGGTGGTTTGGTTTCCAGATCAAGAGTATCTGAGCTGAGGATTTAGAAGTTAGCTACTTCCTGCCACTTTGATTACAGAATCCGGAGGTGTGCATGGTTGCTGCCTGAATAACCTTTTGCTCTGGCCCTGCACCTGGCTGATCTGCGTGCAGCCAGTGGGAGGAAAATCACTGTTGACTCTTTTTTGCCTCCTAGGATGACCTCACCTTCCTCAGGACTTGACTGCTTCCTCATTCTCAGGCTCTCCACCCACTGCTCATTAGGCCCATCCTCTTCCATAAAACCCTCTCCACGTTCCTTTCCCCTCATCTCCATTATTATCTTCACAGACCAGTGGCCAGCTGCCCGAGGACGAACTAGGCTTAACCTGAGTTTTTCTCTCCTCTATTTTAGTTAGGACACAAAAGAATGGACTTAATTATGGGAATTTCATACTCGTAAATCACTGCAGTCTGCACTTACTCATCCTCCTTACCCTGTCTGGTCTCCCCTCCCCTCTGGTCCTCCCTTCCTCACCTCAAATAGCCCCCACCTTGTTCTCATGTCATTTGTTTAAATCTATATCCTCCACTTGAGACGATACACGGTAAGTCTTTCTTTTCTAGCCTGCCTCCATTTCTCTTAACTTTCCCCAAGCACACTTCCACTGTGCTCATCTGTGATACTCCTGTATCCCAACTGCCTCCAAACTCAGCAGAACAGAGAAGCAGAGCAGGCTTCCTCCTTACCCCTAGATGTTTCTGCATGGCTACGCTGCATTCATTCACTCCTTACACTTGGATAAGTGTGCCTCATTTATTAAATTGGCTTGCCTAAAAGTGTCTCTTCATTCCCTCTTCACTGAGCTGGTTTTGTCTGTCTTACAGGATCTCATCCCCGCCCCCCGCCCCCCTTCCCCTCACCCCCCTGCACCCCACTACCTTTTAGGCACCATAGCTAATCCGAATAGCTTCCTGCCATTTATGATGGACTATTACAACCTGACATGGATACTTCCTGTGTGAGAGGCAGTATTCCACACACTTACAGTTCTGTGTCACTTCATCTTTTTGTTTTAATTCCCTGAGCAAGACATCATTCTTGTTTCTATCTTACAGATAAAGAAACCTGTGCACAGAGTTTGAGTGATTTCCCAAAGGAGCCCAGTCAGTGAGCAATGAGGTTGGAATTTGAACTCACAAATCCTCCATAGCTGACCAGGTGCCAAGCAATGCCGCCTCCCGGACTCTACAGTCATCCTAACAATTCTTTTCAGCCATCAATCTCAAAACAAAATGAAACCAGAAACAAAACAAAACAAAAAAGCAAACCTACATCTAGATTCTAGAAAATCCCTACCAAGGCTGCCGCAGTAACAAAGCACAGAGCACACAGACAGCATCATCATAAAGCTGAGAGATGCAGGAAGGCTGTGGATTAGACAATCTGGGATTTCAGGGCTGGGGAGATACGATCAGCAAGGAAAGCCAGCCAGCCTAGCCTAACTGGTGGGCTCCCAAGCAATGAGAAACCCTGTCTCAAAATACTAGGTGGATGGCTCTTGACGAATATCACCTAAGGTTGACTTTCTGTCCTCCACACATATGTCTGTGAATTTAAAAACCAAAGGAAAAGGAGAGACAGATACAGAGACAGACAGAGAGAGAGAGAGACAGAGAGAGAGAGCGTGAATGAATCCGGGGATTTAAATGAAGGCCCAGATTCCAGCACCTGTGGTGTGGTGTGGTTACTGGTGTGGTGTGGTGGGGTTACTGGTGTGGTGTGGTGTGGTTTCTGGTGTGGTGTGGTGTGGTGTGGTTACTGGTG